TGTGAAAGACTTCGACAAGTTAACCTGTTACATTGTTATTATTCTATAGTATCAAACATGTACAAGTATCCCAGTTATATGACAATGGAGGTTTTAGTTTTGTTTTTTAAATTCAGTATAAAATATTTGAGAATGATTTCAAACTGAGAACAAATGACACCGTTTTGCATTGGTAGTGCAAGGGGGAAACATTTTAATCACTGATTACTATTGAAAATCACATGTCTATGATCTACAGGATATTGTGTTGTAGAAAATGAAAATATGCAGAGACCACCCAGTCACATCCTCGAAACACACTCATGAGGAAGAAAGGGAGGAGGTAAAACAAACCGAAACCTCTTCGAAGAAGAGCTACAGAGACAATCTGACTACATACATTACCACAGAGCCTACAGCCCCTTTCAGACATGCAATCCCTTTCATTAATTTTGAGGGCACCTGAATGCGTCAGCTGCCCAAGTGTATGTTCGCTTATCCTTAAATGGCAATCTCGTTAGGTTGGACCTAGAAACGTTTACTTCTAACTTTTCAAGACAAATCTAAATGCATGCAGTCAAATTAAGAGAAGAGCATCTGAGTGAGTTTGACTGTGCATGTTTCCATTTAAACTTTGCGAGTTGCTGAACTCATGAGGGAACGCCCTCGACAGCAATACATACAAATCTCTCCAAAATCAGGTTCTAATTTAACTTTTCAAGACCTTCCTCTTTCAATAAACAGAAGAGACATCTCTCTTTCTCTGAGCCTGTGTGCAGCTCTCTGAGCAGCACATATACACACAACCTGCTCTTAGTGACAATGACAGAAGAAACTAAAAACACAGTGAAAAGAGTCAATCCTGAGAAAACCTGCTGTCACAGAGTCAACAAGGCTTTTCCAGGAAGGGCAAGTACTGCATGCGTACTGCGACTCTCCCAATCACTGTCATGTGTGTGTCTAAATAAAACCTTGAGAAAAACATAAACATAAAAATGACCTACATCTGAAGGACAGAAAGCCATTACTTTCACAGATCCCATGTCTGAAAAGGGCTTTGTTCATTAGTGTACAATATGCACACTTGGGGGAAAGTACAAAATTGAAAATGTGTCATTGCTAAGGATTGACGCAAATTTGAAGAATATTGCAAAAACTTTTTTTTTTTTTTAAACTGCTCGTCTTAAGATATAAATAAGTTTCTTGGGTGCAGATCCATGAAATAATATCTCCACAAGAAGAAACTGTTAAGTTGTTCCATCCAGGTAGAGCCAAAGTAGGGTAAGAGGCCTGAGGGGGTCGGGGTTCTCACAAGTTGCTTGTTGAAAACCTCCGTGTATCAAAAAGTTTGTGAAGACGCCTTTTTCCGTTTAAACGTTTTACCCTAGAGGCAACACAAAGGGACTTCTTATGTCACAACAAAGCAGGCCAAGGGATCGTTTGGCTGTCGAAGGAGCGGACATACAGGTCAAATCCTCCAGTGTTTCCTTGTGTTGTCGTTCGTCTGAAGCGCGGCTCATTCACTGGTTATTTTTGGCTTTGGCGTGTGTGAGGATGTGAGACTTCAGGTTGGTGGACTGGGCAAATTTTTTGTTGCAGCCATCAAAGGGACAAACATACGGACGGTCTCCAGTGTGAATACGCACATGTGTGCGCAAGTTAAAGTCCAGGGAGAACCGCTTGCCACAGCCCTCAAATGTGCACTGGGAAAGAGACAGAGAGAGTGTTAATGCTACTTCATGTCTCAACTTAGCTCACGTATACCTTAGTTTAGTAGCCTTATGATGAAATAGCAAAATTTGCATATAACCACTCTTAAAACACACAAACCCAGCCGAGTAAGGTAAACACTTCCGTATGCATTTTTATGTCCTACTATTAAATCAAAGTAAATATTTGCAGGCTGTCTGAGAAAGCCAAATAACTGACAGCCTGCCACGTGCGAGACCTCACCTGGAAAGGTTTCTCTCCCGTGTGTACGAGTTGATGCCTCTTCAATTTCGAACTCTCGACAAACGCTTTGCCGCACTCTGCGCAGACGTGCACCCGAGGCCCATGGGTGTGCAAGTGTTTCCTCATTGCAGAGTTGTCCCTGAACATCTTGGTACATCCCTGACAGGGAAGAGGAAACACAGTTAGTTTAACTTGTTTGCACATAAAGGCATGCCAATGCATAACACACTTGCATATTCTCAAAAGAGGTGTCATAACAAATACACAACAATCAGCAAACTTCTGAGCTGCAACATGCAGAGCACACATACTTTGTGTGGACAGGCTATCGTCCTGGGCGCGTCGTCTTCTTTTACTTTTCTTGGCTTCATTCTGCAACAAAAATGGAAGTAGCTGCATGTAAACTAGCATTAGAACCCCCCCCCCAGAAAACAGATAAATAGCATTTATTTGCATACAGTGCTATTTTTTAGCATTTTAACATATGTAAATGCATACAATGCATTTACATATGTTAAAGTGGAGTTACATTTATGCTCAATGTTGCACTTCACAAAAAAACAAAACTAGAGTGTGCAAAACTGCATCTAATCTATCAGGTCTGCAGAGTTTTCAGCAGTGTTTCTTGTCTGTCTTTCATGGAGCCAATACAGTTTTGTTTTGAAAGCTGCACTGTGTTTCAACATTATCACCACTTACCTTGCAAACTCTGCCAGCTGTTTGGGGTCTGACAGGTCGATGCCTGGGATGCCTCCAGGAGGAAGCTTTTTCCCTGTCATGTATTCCGAATAATCTGGAGGAGAGTTTTCTCCTGTGATTTGCTCCTCGTGGTCTATGTCCTTTTTGTCATCTAAAAGATAGAGGGACAGTTTTTAAAAGAAATCCATAACTACAGCAGTGCATTTTGAGCTCTCTGTGCCCTCACTAATTTCCTACTTAAATATTACAGAAAATCCGGTTGTTGTTAAATAGGTGATTTCTATTGAGTTGCAAATGGTTTAATCTCAAAAGTACACTATAAACAGTTTTCCAAACAGTATGAATGGTGCAGTTGTGTGACAGTCTATTCAACATAAAATGTGAGGAAAAACAGAAAATTGAAAAGATTTTGCGTTAGATACCTAACGATTCACTGTAGAAACGCAAGTAATGTGAGGTTGGCTGCACAAAGTTTACAAAAAAATGTTTTCCAAATAAAATTTAAATTAAAACTCGATGTGTTTTTTTAATCATCTCAATTTTCATTTTCTCCATGTGTTGAATAGCCAGTTCAAAACAAGTTTCTATATCAAGCTGATAAAATCACACTTTTTAGGGTTCACGCAAGGAATTAAAAAACATGACAGTATCCGAAACAAAATACACAGTTTATTGTATTTTTAAAATCATGTGACTAAAAACGCGTGACTAAAGGGGAAAAACTGTAATGTTTGAGGGGTTCCTGAATGCACCACCTCCACAGACTTCGCTGAGCTGAACTGAACTGCGCCACAGCGGCCTAGCGGAGCTAGCTGCACTCGCTCCCACTCTCGCCGCCATCTTCGTCGGCCAAATAAACGCCATTTTTTCGGGCCGCCATACTTTCTAGACCGGGGAAATATGGCGGCGCCCATCGACACATAAAACATGGCTTCCCATAAAAACAAAAACATTTCAAATGGAGTTTAAGTGGCTCGGAGTTGGGAAATGTTTCCTACTTTGGCGGAGGACAAGGCCCCAGCAGGGCCCAGTCACACGACACACATCCTGAGAACAAAGCGAGGCGCCAGCTTGCAGGAATTCACTTAACTTACCCGATGCCCACATAGTGACTGAAAATTCCCCCTCCAACGTCTTTATCTGGACCTGCTTCTGTTCCCATTTTCTGCCCATTTCTCCCCCACTCAGGTAGCTCTTTTTGCCCGATTTCTTTCCGCTTCCAGCCTTCTTCATCCGGCCTGTTGACGAGCTTTTCCCGGCCACAGTAACCAGAGTCTGTTCGATATAGTCCTCCTCCACGGCGGGCACTGGGATAAGAATTTGGTCCTCGAAACCATCATCTGTGTGCAGTTCGGAGTCATCCTCACCCACCACTTCTTCTCTCGTCTGCACCAAAATCACCTCCTGGTGCGGGTGAATCGAGTTCGGATCATCTGTATCGAGAGGCTGTAAGGCGATCATAGGCTGGTGCTCACCGTCGTCTCCAACAACTGTGGTCTCGATTGTCTCTACTTCGATTTCGTGCAATTCAACTATTTCGGCCGGCATTTCTGAGCCATCCGTTTCTATGTACAGGGTGTCCCCCGATGCCATGATAACTTTCGTGTATTGCTTCTTCCTATTGCTATTTATTTTACACTCTAGCCTTCCCTCCTCTCTACTCTCTATCTGCCCCCCCTCTCGCTCTCTCCGACAACAACTCCACAGTCTCACTAGTGTATTCTCGCCGCCACAACGCTCCAGTTCTAAAATCTCGCGAGATTCAAGGAAAAAGTGCCCTGACAGGTAGATTATCTTTAGTTTACAGATTATTACACACACATTTTTATGAAATAAATATAAATGTGCATAATATTAAGTATGTTTTAACGTAAATACACATCTTCTATGAATGTCTGACGACACAAACTAAACACTGTATCTTTATTTGTAACATACACATCATTATATACATTATGGGTTCACAGTTTGTGTTTTTTTATCATATAGTACAATACGTTTTTTGATGATCCAGTTTATAAATTAAATAAAGGGGACATGTTTAAGTTATCGTTTTTGTTTTTCTTATCAAACTTAGAAATATTCAATTTACAAATACATCAAACAAAAAAGCAGCAAATAACTGAAAAGCGTGAAAGCTTGCTATTTTTTCCATGCCAGATAATTTGTGTAGTGGAAACAAATGAGTTGGAAATGTAACAAAAGAAGCACATAAACACTGATATCCAGCCTTAAAGCAAAAATTCTGACCTTGACAGTTACAATATGTAACTGTGTGTGTAAGCTGTGTGTGTTTTCCAGTTAAATTCTTCACTCATTCTTTGAGAGTATATGCCTACTGTAGTACCATTACAGTCCCACCTCCCCTTAATACAACATATTAAAAAAGGTTTCTAGTGTCCACGACAGAAAACACTCGCTGCAGGGTTGCATACATTTCAGCAGGTGCACACGCAGGTTTGCCCCTGCGTCAACTTTCGGAGGAGGGGCGTGAGACCACACCCTAAACCTTATGTCTACAACCTGTCAAGGTGGGTGTGTCCCGATACTTCGAAGGTTTGATGACACGGAGCCGGCTGCCTCACACGCAGAGTAGATAGCCATGGGGAAGACAGGTGGAAGAGGCGACTTTGAATGGGTCTACACTGACCAGCCGCACACTTCAAGAAGAAAGGAAATTCTGGGTAAGAAATGACAGATTTTTATTTTTTATTTTTTAAAAACAACCTAAAAAAGTCCAGATTGTTTTTTAAAATCCGCCAGAAACTGCGCTTTAGAAGTCAACGTGTTAACAGTTGAGGTCAGAGGTTTTTTTTCCCTGACTATACTTATAAAACTGTAGCCGGTTAAACCTGTTTACAAGCAGTTGCTTAACGAGCTATCAGCTCACAATGGATGCAGTGAAAACGTAGAAACGAACATGCCGCTCATGATAAACACATAGTTTTATTACTTGTACTTGAAGTTACGCATACTTGTACTGTTTTAGGTGCGACGAGATCGATTTACTTATTACTTTAAAACCGTGTATTTATTGGCGAAGGTAGCGTGTACCTGGACTGTACTCCAGTTAAAATCAATGCAAACGAACAATTAAATAAATAAGAGTACAGCGTGCTGTGAGTGGAATTTCAAATCTGATGTTGCAGTCTTCATGTTTACTTTTGATTGCGGTTTTTAAACTAAAGTCAGTTATTTCTTAAAAGGAAACACGGGGTATAAAAGAGGATTGGCATGTTTCAAGCTCGTGATAGTGACACATTTAATTCACTTCAACATTTCTTTTTTCCGAATCCCCCTAACTTGTGAAATAATAGGAATGTAGTGACAGTTCACATTTCCAAATCATGACTGTCACACTCTGAATGCTACTCCTTAAATGATAAGAAAGGTTTTACAGGTTCCTGGGAAATCCTTTAAATCATGACACGAATGAGCCAACAGAATGTATCCAAACTGTTTGGAGTTTCCATTTTTTTCTTTTTATTTTCCCTTGCCTATAAAATATGTATCACAAACTAATAGGTTATCTGATCCGTCATTTGATCCATTTTAAAAGCTCTGCTGCTGAAGTGTATTTAATCCTGGCTTTACCCAGTATTTGCATGCTTACTTGGGTGTGAAAGACACACCTAGTAGGTGGTGGGTTTCTTGACACTACAAAATCCTAAATTATTAAACTGTTTATTGTCCTCTGCTCTGAGGGGACAGGGATGTGGTGGAGAGATGTGTTAGAGGTAATTGTGCTTCAGATCCTTTTACTTTACCATTTGATGGAAATGGCACCTTTTGATAGAAAAACAAACAGTTTAATAAATTAAATGGCTTTTTCTTTTCACGTCTGCAGACTGAAGGTTCAGACGGGACTCACAGGCCATAAACTTAACATTATACTGCACATTCAAAGGACAGCAGTGCCCTGCCATTACAGATGCTTATGAGACCACACATGTGATCAACCATCACATGTTGAATAGAATAATGTGTGAATTAATTTAGGCCTTGACCTTTCTAGTTGAAACCTGAGGCTGATACCCTATGCTGGAAAATTATCGAACAGTAAGGCAAATGAAAGGCCTTTCTTGTTTGACACGATGAAGTCAAAATTCTCTAATGGCTTTACAACATGTGTTCTGCATGGACACATTAAGAAGTTATTACTGGAGTTTTATGATGCCTGGTCATTGATTTAACTTCATACCCTGGAGGCAGGCTGTGACAGCATCTGAAAATTTATGGTCCATAAACGGCTTTAATTAGGAAAAAGGGAAGGACGCTCTGGAGGTGAGCTCACATTGAGCCACAGATTTGAAAGCAATACTAATGCTGATGTAATGCTTGTATGTTGATGAATGATTGTTTCACAATGGGAGACTGCAGGGAAGCAACAGGGAATTCTTGTTGGGTAAACATTAATAGAATAAAGGGGATTTGGTCCGTAGAGGAGACTATCAAAATATGAAACGGTCACTGGGACCCAGCCCCAGTATCTTTAATCTATTAGTCACCAAGGTAAGAAAGTTTTGCATAGAGACATTACACAACCTGAAACTAAGGAAGTAGGTCAGATTTGCATGCGACATCCCGCGATGGTGTGTGGCTAACTTTGATGTAATGCATGATAGGATATGCTCTGTATGGTGTGATTGTAAAGTCTTAGTAGCCAAATCACTTGGCACAAAGCTTTTTCACTTACCTGCCTAAATTTCTTTGCTGTTCCCATAAGGTGGGGCCAGTGCAACAAACCAGAACCTGTATGACCAAATTATTATTATTTTTTTTAATTGTAAAAGTCTTTTTTTTTTTTTTTTTTTTTTAAAAAGAATGATTTTTCAAATGCTCTTTTGTTTCTCCCCGAGTTTCATTTCCCGCAGCAAAACAACACCTCTGCCAATTAAAGCTGACTTTTATCAGCATGGTTTTCCCAAGAGAAGGGCAGCTACCACACAGCTTGTTTGCTGAGAGCAACCTTAGGAAAATTACTGTGAAACATATGCTGTGCAAGTCACTGTTTCAGAAAAAATAATTAATTCATTTCTTTTATCCTCATTTTCTTCACTGCTTCCTTTAATCTATTATTCCCTTTCCTCACATGTCCTCTGCCACTCCTGCTATTCTTTCTTTCTTTTTCAACAATCGCATTACTCCTGCCTTGGCTCTTTTCCATCCCTCTTTTTTTCTTGCTTCTCTCCTCAGCCAAATATCCACAGATCAAGTCTCTGATGGGTCCAGACCCCCAGTTGAAGTGGGTGGTATCGGGCATGGTCCTAACCCAATTCCTGGCCTGCTTCCTGGTCCACGACCTCTCCTGGAAATGGATCTTCTTCTGGGCCTATGCATTTGGAGGCTGTATTAATCACTCCCTGACGCTGGCTATCCACGACATCTCCCACAACGTGGCTTTTGGTAACAAACTGGCAAAATGGAACCGCTGGTTCGCCATGTGGGCCAACCTACCCATCGGGCTGCCCTACTCTGCCGCCTTCAAAAAGTACCACATCGACCACCACCGGTATCTTGGAGGGGACCAGCTTGATGTTGACATACCTACAGACTTGGAGGGATGGTTCTTCTGCACCCCAGCCAGGAAGATCCTCTGGCTCTTCCTCCAGCCATTATTCTACGCCCTGCGCCCATTAGTGGTCAACCCAAAGCCAGTGGGTCGGCTTGAGGTCCAGAATGCAATGGTTCAGCTTGTAGTAGACCTAATTATCTACTATTTATGGGGGGTGAAGCCCATCGTTTACCTCATTGCAGGATCTATCTTGGGTATGGGACTGCATCCGATCTCTGGACATTTCATAGCTGAGCACTACATGTTCCTTAAAGGACACGAGACATATTCCTACTATGGAGCGTTGAACTTGATTACCTTCAATGTTGGGTATCACATGGAGCACCACGACTTTCCCAGCATACCCGGCAGTAAACTACCTCAGGTGAGAACATATTACTGTTATAAATAGATTTATAACAGTATAACTTATAACTTTGGACTTGAATGTACTGAGCGTTGAAAAATGAGCACAGTTATATCACTGAGTACTGTGGACAGATGATATGGGCCTCTCCTGACTTTTAGAACCTAAATACAACAGACACTGGGAAATGCCAAAAATCTAATTTCTTTTTCCCATTAACTGCAAGTATTTATGAGCTTAATGGGCAGGTTTTGTAAATGATTAACTGCCGCCTCTATCAGGACAGAGTGTTGGCACTTAATACAAGTTAACTGCCTTTAGGTTTGTTGACCACGAGTTTAAAGAACTCTTAAAAATCTATTTTGTTTAGTTACATTTTAACCCCCGTTCACGGCCCCCTTTTCATTGTCTAGTAAAGGATATGTCGAGCTGCATTCACCCCGACGTACTGTTTAGTGTAATATCATACAATATGCTGTTCTGTTTGCACACATCAGCATTTGTTCTAGTCAAATACAGTCATGTCGAATAAATAAAAGCTCTCAAATACTAAACACATTAACTCTGCACTTCAGATGCAAGCTTTACACTCACCATTTGCAATATTTACTCTTTCTACACCACCTTCTTTCTCACTGATATTTCTTCTCTTTCATTTTTAACTTTTTTTTTTTTTAACTGGCAGGTGAAGGAAATCGCAGCCGAGTATTACGACTCCCTGCCTCAACACACTTCCTGGAGCCGTGTATTGTGGGACTTTGTGTTTGACGACAGCATCGGGCCCTATTCCAGAATCAAACGGGAGTACAAGCTGAGCAAACAGGAATAGATCTCCGATTAATTGATTGATCTGCTAAGCAAGAATGTGAATTGTAGTTGTCAGACGTCGGCTAACCACAACAAAAAGTTGACATGCTCTCTAGTTTTGTTGCATAGTAAGCCCAATAACATGTTTGACATTGTCATCTAATCAGTGCTGCACTCGTGTTACTATAAGGCAATGTGCACATTTCAGCTGCATATTTTACACAAATGAGATTTCACCTCATATGACTGGATGTTATTTATTCATGCTTGTTCATCCTGCTATAAAAAGACAGCCAGTGTCATTGTGCAATGTGGAAATCTACTTGTACCCAGAAAGCACAAAGAAGAATTGCGGAAAAAAAGAAGGTAAAATTTTTCTTATCTGTGACTGAAGGCGACATAAAGCCATAACTTCGGGATAAAGGTCACATACATTCTCATGTGGTTTTATGGAGATGTCACTACCACATGCCGTTTAGTTTTCCTGATTGTAAGCGTTCGTCAAGCCTCGTGAGAGTTTCTGCAGAAGCACAATCGCTTAGATTAGCAGCTGCACATCCGTCATGCAGAACAATGCTGAAGTGGAAAATGAGCATTGAAACTTACCTTCCAGTGAGAGGAGCCTTTTCTTCTGTGATGCCTCGTTCTGCTTGGTTGCAGCTGCATCGCCGTACAAGGATTGTATCTCAGAGCGTTAGGCTTGTTAAATGACCATACTGGTGTTTCTTCTGGTTGGACACATGTTCATGAAGTATTCATTTACATTGGTGTTGCTAAGGAGCCTCTTATGACCACTCTTTGATCATACAGTTTTTCTGTTTTTGGATTTAGTGTTTGCCATTTTAAATTATTTTCTAGTGACACACTAACTCGTATGAAGAATAAAATACCAGCGTGTGAAATGACAAGAAGCACAGGGGTGAAAAAGAAAGCATCTACAAGAATCACAAGCCACCACAAACGGTAAATTACAAGCACGGCTACTGTTTTTATGCAGGGTTTGTGTTGTTTTGTCCACCCACTGACTGTTCAACCTAATGTATATTCAGTTCTAAGCATTATCTTGTTTATAAAAGTTCTATTTAAAAAAATGCACTACATAAAAAGTCTTTATAATGAGAAACTCTGCATTCCTGAGTGTGTTAATGCTTTTGTCACTGTGGTATCCGAAGAAAAATATGCCTTCAAGGTTAAGACAAACTCGAAGATAGTGACACACACACACACACACACACACACACACACACACACACACAGAGTGAGCAGGATACTGTGTAGCTGACAATTTTTGTTTGTTTTTTTTTGAATGAATGAATTTACTTCCAGTTTTTTAAATGAGAACGTAGTTGAGAGCGGACAGAGTGAACAGAATGCAACAACTGATATTCATCCAAAGCCTTCCTGCAAATACACATTTAGCTACCATCACAAAGGCCTACTTTTCATCTCTTGCACTTAGCTAGGTTTGCATATTGCCAGAGCAACCAATCCTCTTCACTTTTTTTTTCTCCCCACATTGCTACCATCATCAAGGTTAACATCTCGTAGAAAGGGAACGTTCATAGAAACAAACCACTATAGTAAATGTACCACCGTTTATATAGATTTTTGCATGTGTGTGTCTTTTTTCTTTCTTTTGTTCTTTGTCCCCAAACCAAATAAACTTATTCATAGAGATGGGGTATTCATGCATACTTGGTGGGGGGTGGGGTTCACAAAGCATAGGGTGACTAATATATATAATACTACATTTTTTTTTTTTTATACCTAGGTAAAACCAGGTGGCACATTTAAAGTTATCGGCCTGTTTTTTGTGAATGATCCCCGAGTTTCAGTGATCTCGCACATCCAAACAGTTACAGAGAAACCTCGGTCACACTGGAGTTGCAGAGCAGACTTTTTGTGTGTTATCTGATTCATTGCTAAAAACAAAAAAAAAAATTGTTATGCCTTTAAATATGGTGGAAATTAACGTAATTCAAGTGGTTTAAGCTATTGTTTTTCTTAAAGGTTAGATACACAACGCCAGTATGAGCAAGGTTGTAAAAAGTCTTTTTTTTCTTTCTTTTTTTTTTTAAATATGCCAGTCGAGGGCAGGTGGGTATGCGGAGCCACTCTGCCCATATTGTGCTTGTTATCGTCAACAAGTTAGGGATAAACTAAACAAAAACCATAGAAAATATAAAAGGCTGACGTAGGGTGTGCAAGATTCCTTTCTCCCTCTAGAATATCAATAAAATACTCATTGTCATCAACAGCATCATCATCATTATCACCACATTTTTTTAAATAATAAAACAGTAAAAACTTAGAAAACAAAAATATTTTCTTCTTAAGACTTGGACTGAACGGCAAACAAAGAGTTGCAACACTGGGCTGACTGAGTCTAGGTGCACAGAGAGGACCACAACACCAAAACTCAGCACGAACGTCCTTCTTTTCCTCACTTCTTCTTTTAGTCCATCTGTCAACCTCTGTTTGAGTTCAACCTGTACGTCAGTCTTCCTTTAATCCATCCCCACATTTCTTCTGCTCGTCCCTCTCGTTAATCCACGCTCTCTTGTCTCTGTTTCTTCTTTTTATTCTTGCTGTCCAGCAGACTTAAATGTTGCCACAACGTCTCTGCAACTCGAACGATGGCGTCTATGAGGTCACAGAAACATTGAGAGAACATTCCCTGGTCCTCGCGTCTGTGCATCTGCGTGTCCGTCCTCCTCCAGCTCCTCCGTCGCTCTCCTCCTGCTCCTCCTCTTCCATCTGTACGCTCGGATGAGATTAGGATGTACTGATTCTGCCGATTTCTTGTCTGATGGCTGCGAGAAAATAAAAAAAGCCGATTTAAGAAAAAAAAGGCTACACTGCTGTTTAACTTTACAAGGACTGCTGCTGCTTACCGTTAATGATCTCGTCTTTCACTTTATGCAACTCGCGCACGACTTCGTCCAAAATCTCCTGCGGGGGAGTAAACAAGCTCGTGAGTCTCATTTCAGTTTCGCAGGGTGAACCCATAATGCGCTTTATGCTACATGGGAAGTTAAACCAACCTGTTTCATCCTGTCAAACTCTGTGTCTGCTTCACTAGTGCTGCCGATGGGCCTCACTCTGAAAGGCAAATGGGTGAAGTGACTAAAAACACAGTGGACAGTGAAGTAGAACAGGCTACATATTTTTATCATTTGCATTGATAAAAGTGAATTTTCAACACTTCACTGTTGCTCCAGTGAAACAGATTTATGCCTAAATCCCTGTGGGCAATGCTAGAGGTTTGGTATCTATTTCATATTCAGAACATTGCTCCTCCTGCTCCTCCTCTTATCTACAGACCTGGACACCAGTGAGGACTTTTCTGCAGAATTGGATCGCTCCCATGGCTTCTTCACAGCATCTTGCAGAGTAAAATACTTACAATCAGATAACGCGGCTACGCCACAGATTAAAATATACTGAAATATGTGCAGATAAAGCCAATAAAGCATCAGTGTTAATACCTGTTGAGTTCTGCTGACCTGATCCCCGACCACCTAAGTCATCCTTCAAGAAGAGACAGATATTGATTATCAGACATTGAGTATTGTTAATAGCCGTAAGTAATTTCATACATCTCTGAAATATTTAAAAAACATCCTTAAAACAATGCACATTTTGGAAAATATCCCAGTCACGCTTCTAGAGCTTTATTTAAACACTGATACCAATCATGCCAGCAACAAATGGCAAAATAGCAAAATGCCAAAAACTACAATTCCTGGACTGGTCGCTTGAGACCAGTGCTAACACTGAGTCAGTCCCATGTTAAAATGCTCAGATTTAGACCTCTAGAAGTCGTGTTTACACCCTGTTCTCCACAGCTTATTTATCCCTTTAGTGTGTGGGGGGTGAGTTTCTTTCATAACTCATCAGCTGAACTGGATTGCGCCTTTAAGTCATGCGTTACTAAGGGCATGAATGTGCTGACTGATAAGTGTTGGGGCTTTTTAGTGTAAATGATCTAATCATCAGTGTTGAAGTTTTGGTGAGTGAATTTTTGCTATTCTATTTATATGCTACTTAGCTCCAAGCACTGAGAAGCCATCCATGTCCATGTGATGCACAGATAAACTTTATGCATGGAATTTCCCAGTTTGACTCCAATCTTTGATCCAAATATGATAACTTCTGGCTCCAAAAAAAAAAAAAAAGCAACAACATTTACAGTGCTAAAAATATAAGTCCAGGTAACTGTGGCGATGTCCATGTTTTATATCAGGTCTGTAATCTCTATGCTAAACATAAGATCTGTCAATAACCTGTTAGTTTAGCAGTTATAATCTGTTTTTCAAAGGTTGGATATCTCTCTAGGCTTGAGTCTCACATTTAAAAGAATGAATTGAAACTGGTATCTTTTCTACCAGCTCTCGATGATAAAGAAAATAAGGGAAATTCCCAAAAATGTTGAGCTATATCTTTAAGCACAAAACTTACTTCATCAGGTTTCTCAGAAGCTTTTCGTCTAAAAGAGAAAAGGGAATGAGGAAACTATGTAAAAAGAGTGAGCTTTCAGTGAGAATTCAGAAACTAGTATGAATAGATTGTGACATGGATATGATACGAACCCAGAAACATTTTTTTCGATAGATATTTACTGTAAGGAAAACAAAAAGGCTAACGGAACAGGTTTCTGTGTCACTGCATGATCTGACAGGTGAAGGGGTAAAAAGTTTGTGTGTGTTTAGAAAGTTGTTTTACCTGCGTGCTAGTAAGGCATTCATCTCCTGCATCAGTCCCTCCCCTCCGCCGCCACTGCCACCGCTAGACCGGTTGGAGTCACTTTTGCCACTAGAACCAGGAGGGCTGCTCTCATCCTAAACACAGACACATTACAAAACAGGTTTCATTTTTTTCTCCCGTGGGGGCAGGTGGAACCTCTCTGCCTAAAATATGCTAATAACATTCCTTTGCTTTAGTCGGAACCTCCTCAGACTAAAGCAGGGAGGCTCACCCTATTCACTTTACGTAGCTTGGCTCCAGCCAGCGCCGCAGCCAGTCCTGAGGGTTGGTGTTGGACCCCAGGTGGGCCACCAGGAGGCCCTCCACCAGCGGGTAATGGAGGGGGCATGGGTGGCGGCACGGCCATTGGGGGTGGTGGACCAGGTGGTGGTGGTGGAGCTGGAGGACCAGCCATAGGTGCTGGAGCTGCAGCTGAAGGAGGTGCAATAGAAAGCAGAGATGGGTTACGTGCAGAGATGAGAACACTTGGGAGGAGTAAGATTAAATCCTGATTAAAGGTTGGGGGGCCTGACATATATATATATATATAGATATA